ATCTGCAACAGCGACGCTCGAACCGAAGACGCCGTGGACAACCGGAGTCGGTGGAGATGATGGGGTAACGGAAGAACGACGGCCGGAGGTCATTCACATCTTGAAATCGCCTCCAGTTTCTCTGTTTTGAGCAAATCGCGATTAGAGAGAGAGAGAAAAAAAAACACCCAGAAGAGGCAGTGGTCGTCGTCTTTGCAGAGAGAGGGATGATATGTCGGAGAAATCTAAAGAGATGAGAAAAGTTGCAGAGAGAGAGAGAGAGAGGCAAGGGAGATCGAATGGAGAAGAAGATTGGAGGAGAAGAGGATCGAAGATGGTGAGAGTGAGAGAGCTTTTTTTTTTGTTCAAAGTTTTGTTTTTTTTTTCTCTCTCTCTATCCAATTGAAAAGGAAAAGTCATCGTCTGTTTTTTTTAAGTGTTAGAATCGATGAAAAAATTAGCTCTAATAGTTCCCGCTTAGTTAAATTTCGGCATAGCATTTATAAAATGCTATAATAGAGTATTCCAATCCGACATAGTCTTTTTCATAGCAAAATCGAAAATCGTGCTATGCTTAAGTGCTATCAATGTAACCTTTTTTTGTAGTGTAAGCTTGTTTGTATTATAAAAATTAATGCATAGTATGTGACCTAGAACCAGTGATAAAATCTTACGAAAAAACGAACCATGAACCAATAATAGAGAAGAAATATGAGTCTACTGACAACAACAGCAGTAGTAAAAAATCATGAATTCTTCACTAAAACGAAAAGAGTTGTCACAATCCGACGAAGTCGTGGCCAGAGCATCGCGATTCACGAATCATTTTGATTTACTAAACACGTACTGTATTAAACAATCACATTCACAGATTTTATGTTCGATCTGTAAATAGTGTTACTTTAAAATAAATAGACATGAGAACTACAGAAGATTAGTGTATGCCTGAATACATACGACAATGAAAAACCTGCAACCTGTTGTGCGATAGTAAAATTACTATATTCTCAGTTTTTGCTTTTTTTTTTTTTTTTTATAGAGAATAAATTACACCTTCGTTATTTCTATCCTATTGAGTTTGAAATTCGCCTAATTACTAAATCGTACTTCCTCCGTATTCGAATACTTGTCGTTCTACACTTTTTTTTTTTTTTTGTTAATTAGTTGTCGTTTTGACATTCCAATATAACTTTTGCATAAGACTTCCTAAATTAACCTCAATTAATTGATCACAATTACTCAGTCTAAATTGAAAATTGTTGTTTAAGATGAGGTTAAAATAGTCATTTTCAACTTTTTTTTAATAAGCGTAATTATAGTTAAAACGACAACTATTAGAATACAGAGGGAGTAGTAGAATTCATGTAGTAGGAAAATTTGTTAATTTGCAACGACTAGGTGAAAAATACAACAGCTTTAAGAATTGTAGTTGGATTCAGAAATCTAAAATTTATTATATAATGAATTAAAAGTATGTATTATCGTCAAAGCTTTATGGAAAACGACGCCGCTGTCTTCCGGTCAAAATTAATTATTTTTTTCGTTAACAGTGAAACAAAGAACGATTAAATTTAAATCATTACATTAATGATAGTACCACTCAATAGTATTAGTAGAGTTATCATTCTTGCATATAAACAAAGAAACATACTATACTATTAATATCATTACGTACACAAGAAAATATTACTAAACCAAGGATCCCGGAAATACATTGAACAGTCAGGAAAAGCCAATAACATCTAAGAAATATGTGGATTCCTACCATAAATTTGAAATGATATATAAAAAAAAAAATATATATATATTTGAAATGATATAAAGGATAAATATATTAAGGCATGGGAACAGTGATGATAACCTCAGCCCCGACTCAAATGGGTAGGGCGGAGGTGCGACGGCCCGAAGCTTTTTTTTTATAAAAAAATTTTACATATAAAAAAAGTCTAAATATTTTTTAAAAATATTATTAATATGAGAATTATATTTTAAGAGGCCTAATTATTTATAAGAAAATGTATAAAAAGACCCAAAATTTTTAAAATAACAATTTTTACTATAAAAACTCCGCAAAATTTTTAAAAATTAAGTAAATTTTCTCTTTAATTTTTTTGCCCTAAGGCTCTCAAATATATTGAGCCGGAGCTGGATAACCTAATCAAATAATAAAACAAGAAAATAATAGGTTAATGTATATATTATATAGTGATTTGAGCTCGTTAAAGCATATGTACATTCATAGTCTCTCATAAAGTATATTAACAAATAATAAAAAATAAATACTATTATTATATTATATAGATGTAACCTTTTTTTTTATAATTATTATATTAGATGAATTTTTTAAAAAATGAGAAACTATCTCCTAAGTCTCTCAAACGAGAGACTATATGAAAGATTTTAGAGAGAGTTTCAATTTTTTTAAAATTCATCTAATATAATAATATTATTTATGTTTATTATTTGTTGAGAGATTCGATGAGATACTATAGATGTACATGCTTTTAAAATCATAAGTATATAATTAATTAGCATATGTGGCATAGAAGAAAATACAATGCTTAGTCTATATATATAACTCATATAATTTGTTTATTATTTTTGAGAAAGATATACTATAGCTAGGAGAAAATAATTCTAATCTTAGAGAGCATTATCATTGAGGAGTTCTCACAGAGGTTTTTACAATTAAAATAATAAAAAATTAAAAAGAATGAGAGAGAGAAATGTCTATCGTTCGAGATACTTTGAAAAACTCATCACATATGTTTTAATTCTATTGGTGTACTTCAATTAATTACTTCAAATTTAATTAAATAATAAAATCATAATAAAAATAATATTTGTTATTCATCATTTTTTTTTAGATCTTCAGCATGAGGATGCTCTAAGTAGAACAGAAAATAAAGTCCAACGAAAACATCTATTTTAGTTTTTGCTTGTTTAGTTAAAGATAAGTATATAATTTAAGTCCATTAACAAGGTACTAATATAAAAATTCATGTCATTAATGAGTGTTGTAACAAAATTTAATGAAAACACAAAGATGAAGAAAAAGCTAACAATGATAAGGGAAATGATTCATAGGATGCATAAGAAAACAAGCCCATTGGAAAATTGTAAGCTGTGTTCTTGGAAAAGTACTTGAGAGACAAGAAAATAGAAGCTTGTGAGGTTACATGGACTCTTCTGGACGTATGCTAATGGCTTCTCCTCTCAATTTTTTTTACTCTATTCAGAAAGACAAAAAAAATCTCTTTAACGTCTACATCAAAAACAAAACTCTGCTATGATCGATAGAAAAATAAATATCATTCGTGCGAAACATCTACATGTTAAATGATGTACATAACTGATTAAAAAGTAGTATTAAACATAATGGAATGATCGAAACAAATTTATAGATATTTAGATAATAATTGACCAATAAAATTATGGTGATGACATATAAATAACATCAGGTACACGGATTCAAAGGAGACAAGATTACTATAGCTTAAATTAATTTCAAGCGCATCTAACAAGATTCTTTGTATCATCATAAAAAGTTTGTCCTCAAGTTTTTTTTTTTTTTTTTTTTTGGTAAGACGTTTGTCCTCAAGTTTTATGTTCACATTGATTTATTTTTTGGGCAAATTGGTTCAGATTTTAAGATTCCAAGTGTCCGACCAAATTTGATTACAAAACGCAGCCTAGTCACATCTATCTAATTCTTGCAACTTTTCTTTTGGTATTAAAATAGAATTATACTATTATATATTCCCAGAGTGATTAGATCAGAATAATCAAAAGATGCCACCCAATTTAAATACATAACTTTTTGTTTTTAACGTTGAAAAGACAAAAGATTTTTAATACGTAATTACCATCATTTTATTACATGTCAAATAGATCTAGATTTAAATAAATATTTTTATAACAAAATTGTTAAACCTGACATAAAGTGATACCCACCGGCCAAAATAAATCTTCTTTTGCTGGTGTATTTTCTGACAAACATCTGTTTTTAAAGATTTTTAAGTTTAATCGGATACTAAGCCATATATTTGATATGGAAATACATTATTTTTGTTTAGTAAAAGATAACATGAGTGTAACTAGACGACCCAAGCCTGCAAACAGATTATTTGGTCTTGTGGACCGGTGGACCGGTCTACTACTACTACTAGCTCACGTGCAACTGGACGCCGTAATGTATAATACATCAATACATGTATCTATATATGCGTCTATGTATCTAAATAGTAATTAGTAAGTAGTATTTGTTTGGGAAGTCTGTCAGTTGGGCCTTGACCCAATTGGTTTATCTGGTAGCCAGAAATGCAGGCGGCCTGACTACCGCCTGGCACTTAGTCGGAAGGTATTCCAAACTCGGGATAGGCAGAGTGGTAGCCCGTAAGGGCCCAACCGTTAACACAGTGGAGTAGTCCACTATATAGCACCTTGGTGCGTTTCTACCGGAGCGACCGGATAGCCGATAGGGTTTATCAAAAAAAAAAAAAAAAAAAAATTAGTAAGTAGTAACCATAGATTCAAGCTGATCATCAGTGAATCTAGTTCCACGAAGTTGGATAGATATATTCTAAGGTAATTTCTGGTAGAATTTGAAACCGACAAATTGGTACCAGATGTGTGAATGCAAAAACCGAAAAATTAATTGGCGTAGACTGTCGTAACTTAATAACTTTCTTTATAACTAGCATATAAATGTATAATGTTTTATAATTTATAAATAATTCCAAATGAGATTTTCACCATTTCGTTTTATTGTATCATATATTACTCACTTGTCCGACTGACGTTTTCACTATTAACAAAATTCTTAATGCAAAAAAAAAAAACTAGTAGAATTGCACGCCCTAATTATTTTGGAAAAAACGTTAATCCACAGCAACTTTTTTTGTTAAAGTAATCCGCAACATGACATATTAATTAGCACTAATTAACGAACTGATGTTTTGCCATATTTAGAATTTTCAATGTTCTAAGAAATTAGCTTTATAGCCTCGCAAATCTTCTCTGAAGTCCCTTAATAATTAAACACACACTTTGTTTGTTTTATCTTCACAGTTCCGCTTTAACCCTCCTATCTATTTTTTTTGTTTTGTTTTTCTTTGTTAAAGATTCAGTCTCATATTCTTCCTCTATGCCGGTGAGTTCTTGATAATTTAATATTTCGTAAATCAATTTTAAAAGAATCTACATATAATTAATACCAAGCTTAGTAATTTCCTTTAGTGGGCTTTAACCCTTTTGCCTTTATTTCCCCCTCGAGACAAAAGGAGAGCGACAAACACTTCCTGTCTAAATTTTGTTTTCTCTCCTTCTATCTCTCTCCGTCTTTCGATTTCTGATCAGTCTCTTTAATTTTTCCCATATTTTTAAAATTTTCTTTTCAACAATCTCCGGCTTAAAATGCCCTTAGAGGCTGTCGTATACCCGCAAGATCCATTCGGATATCTTTCTAATTGCAAAGATTTCATGTTCCACGACTTGTGCTCTCAAGAAGAGGTCTTAGCTCAAGATACGAAGAACAACATTGATAAGTTAGGGCAAGAACAGAGATTTGTGGAACAAGGTAAGGAGGAGGATCGTCAATGGCGAAACTATAATCAGTACCCTTTATTAATCCCTTCGTTGGAAGAAGAGCTTGGTCTTCCCGCCATTGATGTGGATAATCATCCTCCTCCACAGCAGCGGAGGAAGAGGAGGAGAACGAGAAACTGCAAGAACAAGGAAGAGATCGAGAACCAGAGAATGACTCACATCGCCGTCGAGAGAAATCGCCGGAAACAGATGAACGAGTACCTCGCTGTGCTCCGTTCTCTAATGCCGTCGTCGTATGCTCAAAGAGTAATTTACTAATTCAATCTTTCATTCTTTATATATGCTATATATCATTTGGTCAGGGTTTTTCTTAGGTATATGATATATCAAATGTTTGTGTCTTTGTTTTACTTCCTTGGCCTAGCTAGTACTAAGTTTTTCATGTTTGAGGTTTCTTCAAACTAAAATAAACTAAAACTAATTTTTTCAGTGATATATTAACACAAAAGAATAGCATGTGGATGATTGAGAATAATATATTGATGTTTTTATACAATTTTTTAACAAGAAAATCCACCGTAAACGGATATCCAAGGGTGATGCGTTTATATACACTGTTACATATTTTTTATATACAAAATTGGGTGACACCAAAAATTCGAATGAGTATGATTGAGAATATTGGGATGTTTTAATACAATTTCTTAATAATGCAACTAGCAATGATATGTGTGTGTATATATTTATACATTTAAAGTTTTTTTTCAATCTTTATGAACTACATATATATATGATCTGACTTGAGCGGGTTTTGCTGGTAAAGGGTGATCAAGCGTCGATAGTAGGAGGAGCTATTAACTACGTGAAGGAGTTAGAGCATATCTTACAATCTATGGGGCCTAAGAGAACCAGGACCACGTCCACGACCCATGATCCCGAAGGAGCCAATACTAGCACTAGCTCGTTGGTGGGTCCCTTCTCAGATTTTTTCAGCTTCCCTCAATATTCTACAAAGTCATCATCAGAAGTACCGGAAAGCTCATCTTCACCGGCGGAGATAGAGGTGACGGTGGCAGAAAGCCACGCAAACATCAAGATACTGGTGAAGAAGAAACCGAGGCAGCTTCTTAAACTTATAGCTTCTTTACAAAGTCTAAGGCTCACTCTTCTTCATCTTAATGTCACCACTCTCCACAACTCCATTCTCTACTCCATCAGCGTCAAGGTACGTACATTTTCAACTTCTCATCATTACTTTGTTTGCTTTTGGGGTAATCATGAGATTAAAGTGATTAATGACTGTGTGGTGCATATGGTTTCACTTTGTTGATTTATTTTTTTGTCTCTTATTGTTGGGGGGGAAAGTTTGGATTAGTACTAGTTGTGGTTATGTCTGGGCTTTAAAAAGGTTGCGAAGGAAAATTAAAATCATTCTCTTTGTTTTTTTCTTACCTCCTTTGGGTACTTAGGGCTGGGGCCTCAATAGTTGTGGGTCAAACTCATAATCATCATTTTGATTTTTGTATTTTTTTAATAAATTGCGTATCTTAATCGTGCCTGTAAGAATCAGGGGACCAACCTAAAAAAAAACGAAACACGAATATGTGTCTATCTATATCCACGAATTGCATACGTGGTGTTGTGTATTTATATATGTTTATGTACTACTACTGTGGATATATGTTGGTGGTCACATAATTGTCGATGAAATATGTACGGACAACGAAGTGAGACCACCACTTGTCTCAGGAGATATTTATAAGCAAATTGATATAATATTTTATTACAGTTATCTACGTTCTTCTTAATTTTTCAGTTGCAACCCTTTTCAAGAATTGTTTATGTATAGCTTTATTTAATTTCTTAAGAAAAAATGGTTGGTTCAGGTTGAAGAAGGTAGCCAGTTGAATACCGTGGACGACATTGCAACAGCTTTGAATCATACCATAAGGAGGATTCAGGAAGAGTCGTATTTCAGCAAATAGATTAAATTATTTAGTTTTTATGTTTCTTTTTTATATATTTTATTTTGAAATAACTGAAATCCATTTTCTAATTTGTGTGTTTTTTGTTTTTCTCTCCATGAGTTGCCTTTTTGTCTCTCCTGTAATGAATCAATGGTCATAAATATCTGAAAAATTGAATAAAAGAATGGGTTAACTCGATAAGTAGGTGACGTTGGGCGCTAATAGCCGTTAGGCCTAATACTAATAGTCGTGTTCTACGCCTAATGTAGTACTTCTCAATGTTCTCTAATGTTGTGTTTAGTGTATAATTATAATGATTAGAAGTATAATTGATAAATTTTTGGATCTATTTTCTTCAAAGACAAATTCGTCTTTTTCTAGAACTTTAAAAGTTTGTGGGTTCAACTTTTAATTCGTTAATCACTACATTTTAACATGTTCCTATGATAGTGGAGGTTATACCTTTGGGCTTTGAATGCGAACAAATTCTTTCTATCTAGTAACCCGAAAAAATAATTTTGATATAGGTTGTGTCTTTATATTAAAAAAAAAACATTTAGCCGACCATAACACACATGTATATCCAACTATTCGTGGAAAATCAAACTATTTCACCTCGAGATATGAACCATATGATGAACAACTTACAAACCCACTAATTAAACTCTTCCAAATGACCACACCGAAGTTGGCGAAAAAAATAAAAAATAAAGGACCAAACCTAAGTAAAGATTTTCAATATACATAGTTTAGTATGTATATAGTTCAAGTTTTAAACCTTATATTTAAAGTGGATGATCATCCTCATTTAACATACTTTTGTAATTATCCAACATTGGCTTAAGGAAATAATAACAAAGTTTTTCAAAAAAAAGGACCAAAACGTAAATTTTATTTTATAGATGCTAAATATAAAACTAAAATAAAAATAAAAATTAATTCTTTTAAAAAAACTAAATAATGATCAAAATTAAAAACTCGCTATTACTTCAAAAACAATCATGCGTTATGTTAAACTTCAAAATAAAATAAGAATAAAAATGTTTTTTTCTATAAAATCAAATTTTGTAATGGTTATTTCACGGTAATATATTTTATTTAAAGTGAAAGTAAGGGAAGAAAAACAAAAAATTTACATAATAAAATTTGTTTACCACATTTATTTTCTCAGGGATAACTTGTGAAAAGAAAAGAAAAAACTTACGGTGATCATAATAACAAACAATGATTTGGTTTTCAGTTTTGTAGTTGAATTGGAACACAAAATCAGCGGTACATGGGAATCATGGAAGAATAGAGATGATGATCATTGTCTTATCATGAAGACCCATCAAAGAAAATGGAGCCTCAATCGATAAAAGGAAAAAAAAAAAAAAAAGTTGAACTACGTATTATTAGAACTTAGATGACAAAAAAAAAAAAGAAGAAGAACAAAAAAAAAAATGTAAAAAGTAAAGGCTATAGATAGGATTTTTGTTTTTGACCTAGCCTAGATATGATTTAAACATCTTATTTGAAAAGCATTTCATTATATCTTAGTAAGAAACACCTCAAAATATAGCCGACTGTTCTATACAGCAGCTTTTTTATGTTTTGAGCTTATAGATTCACACTATCTTGCAGCTTTCTCTTTATCTTCTTGTTAGACGTATTCAGTTTTCTTTGTTTATTGTATATCTTTGTAATTGCATTCACATCCACTATATCTTAAAACATCAAATGGGCATGAAAAAAGAAACAAAAAAAAAAACATAAAATCATCATGATATGGACAATTTTCTATTTAGATGTCGAATTATTCAATTATAAGAAATTAAGCACTCACATGTTACTCTCTAGATATGCATTAGTCTTTATGGGAAAATAATGGTGAAAAGGAAATTTGAAATTTATTATAAAAAATAAGAATATGAGAACTTGGGAAAAAAAATCAAAATGGGCCATGAAAAATAAAAGGAAGTTAATTGGAAATCTACATATTTTCCATAATTATTGATATCTTTGTAAACAGCCACCGACCTAGCGTCATGAATCATGACTGGCTTGAAAGGGCCAAGTATCTAGGCCTTTTTAGGAAGTGAGTTATTTGGTTAGAGTATTGGGCCATTAACGTTTCTTTGTGTAGCTTTTTTTTTTTTTTGGTGTGTGTGCACATGCAAGTACATTTGGTTCGGATTTCTTTACAAGGTATATAGTCAAATTTGGTTCGGATTGGTGGACTTTGGTTTGATTCGGTTTGGTTTGGTGTAACTATAGGTTTTTTTAGCTAGACACTATAAAAGTAATGGCTATCACCAGGGCCGGCCCGATATAATATAGTGCCTAGAGCAAAAAAAAAAATTTAAGCCCTTACAAAAACGGTTGAAAAAAAATATTAGCAAAAGTTAGGCAACAATTAGTCAAACTTGTGATCAGGAAGGTAAAGGAGAGACTTAACCACTATGCTGCAACATTTTTTTGTGAAATGATGCCCCTAAATTTATTTATAGAGTCTTGCTGCCTAAAGCTCTAGTTTCACGGGCTTTAGCCTTGGGCCGGGCCTGGCTATCACTGTCACTGCATCTATGCGCAGAGCAGGTCATGGGATCGAGCATGGGTTTGTGGCCTTCGTATATATTATCTATTTTTAGGCCGTAAATTTTTTATAAGTTCTCATTAATGTAGTGGTTATGACTCGTCGTGAGATAGATGAAGGAAGGTTAGAGTACCATGTTGACAAATCTTTTTATTATTTCTATCAGTGGCCCATTTATCTTTTCTTCGGCTTATGAGTTGTGACCTTCATTTTGTTAGGACGACTCTGTCTATGCATATATGTTTGAGTCAATGATCAACGTTTGGAATCTTGAGAGCTTAACTCCCATAATCTAGGGTGGAAGACGGTGTTACCTTCAGTTTCAAGAACTTCTTGAGAGTTAACCTGTGGAGTTGTAATTCACTAATTTGTATATTTTGTAGCGGTATTCACCGGGGAAAATATATTTACAATAGTTATATGAATATAACGGTCCATTCATGATAAAAAAAAAAACAAAAATGTACATCATTAGTTGCAGTGTCTCGATCATATGTTTTCCCAAAGACTATTTACCACATAAACCACCTTTTAACTAGCTTAGATTGTAGGTTGAGTAAGCCTGAAGCATGTCTTTTCAATACTTTTTTTTTGTTTTTAAAACTTCCTTTATAATGAATCGTGCATTTGTAATTAGTTTAATTAAATAAATTTTTGTTGGCAAAGAAAGAGTCATATATGTCACCAAACCAAAGTCTAGCAAATAATGATTGGGCACTATATGTATATAGAGCTGATTCGCCTGAGTGATGTTCGGACAGGAAGTTCCACCTGCTTTTTGGTTTAGTCCATATATTTAATCATTGTGAAGCGGTGACGAAAACTGATCCCTTATGATCTGACAAACTAATTAGGAGTTATCGTAAGAAAAGAAAAAAAAAGTTATCCTAAGAGAGTCGACTAAATTAACTCCAATTAAACACCCCCTATCTAGCTATATATATATATGCATGTCACAAGAAGTTATCATAAAATAGTAATTCCCTTATATTTAACAAATAGTATAAAACAATATGAGCAGACTTCTTGGTTGCCTTGTCCTCATATTCTTCTCTATGGTCGCACCTGCCTCATCCGCCACTCTTACGGTGAACTGGTCCCTTGGCACCGACTACACTCCGCTCGCCACTGGAAAGTCCTTCGCTGTCGGCGATACCATCGGTGACTCATCTCTTAACTCCTCTAAGACTTATATAATTTGACTCATAATTACCTCTACTATAGACAAATATATTTATTAGGTTGAGATGAAAACAAAATAAAGGCCTAATTCACAAAATATTCTCATTTTATTGACATGATAAAATGATTATGATGACTTTATTATTGTTTTGTTTGCATGTAATGATTATATAAATTCGGAAAATCAAATCAAACTAACAAGTACTGCTTTATATCACATCGGTTCATAATTGTACCAGTTTAATGTTCTTACATTTGTGTAACTCAGTGTTCAACTACGGTGCGGGTCACACGGTGGATGAAGTGAGCGAGAATGACTACAAGAGTTGCACTTTAGGGAACTCCATTACGTCCGACAGCAGCGGAACCACGACCATAGCTCTCACGACCACTGGTCCTCGCTACTTCATATGTGGAATCCCCGGCCATTGCGCCGCCGGTATGAAGCTGGCAGTCACCGTCGCGTCGGCCTCTTCAAACGTTGTAGGTGGTGGCACCACCACACCAACCCCTTTCACCGGAGGTAGTGGTTACAACCCCACGACCACACAGGCCATTCCTTGTGGGGCTTGGACCGTGTCTTGTCCATTAGGGGCTTTGGTTGCTACTTGGGCCGTTGTTTTTTATGCTTTGTCTTTGTCTTAGTTGAAATTTTGTGGTGTATATGTATCTTTAAGAAAAAAACGATACTAAATTTGAACCTAGCAAAAGGACGAGATTGCCTTGCCATGTGTCTCTACGATAGAGAGTATGATACTCGTAAAGCATCAGATCCACCGTCTCTTACCTAATTGGTTGGAACCAACAAGATCTCTCGTACATCTAAGCCGTCCATTTGGATAAAACATTGTAACCACTCTAGGTCTCTACCCAAGCCGACGTAACAACAGAATAATATTGTTTGTTTGTGAAAAGAACAAACAATATTGTTTGTTCTAAACCAGGAGATGTTGATAGTGATCAAAATGACGGAGATTTCGAGTGGTTTCGATTATTTATGTAACTTTGGAATAGAATTCAAATTCGATTTGACGAGTTCTAGCTACTATGAGTTTATTTTGGCTATCATACACGTGGAAACCGGAAATTAATTTGGAATTCTATTTGGTATTTTTCGGATATAAAAACATTGTTTGTTTTACGTTATCAATTAAGTAACAAACACAATGTGAATGTGTGTCTATCTACGTATGATTGATCTGAGAACATAATTATCATTAATAAAGTATGTATTGTATGTCGATATTAATATGGAAGAATGACCTAACATTTTTCATTTTCTTACAATTTAATTGTCTTTTTTCTTAACTACTACAATTAATATTTTCCATATAAAATAATCGTATACATGAACCGGGTGTCCATTGTTATTTTTTGGCCTTTTGGGAAAATTATAAAGAAGAAATATCTTGGAAACATCAATAGAGATCATAGCCAGCTAAGCAAGCACCTATAAATAAACACAAACACAACACAAGTAACGGCGAGAAGAAAGAAAAACAAATTAGATCACCACAAGCTCTTCAACAATGGCAAACGTTTTCCTCATCAATAGCAGAAACAGAAGATCAATGCGAACAACAACAGAGTCAAAACCCAAGAATATTACGGTAAAGAGATCAGATTCATCTTCAGACTTCAACTACTCATGCAAGAAACATCCTAAGCAAAGACAATCTCCTGGAATATGTTCCCTTTGTCTCAACGAGAGTCTCTCCAAGTTGTCTAGTGATTTCTATGACTTAAGTTCAAGCATGAACTCCTCTTCTTTGGCTAAAACGATGTCGTCTTGCTCCTCCGCCTCTTCAGAATCAGAATCAGATTATTCTTCGACGGCTATATCTTCTTATTACTCTTCTGTCTCCTCTTGTTTATCTCCTCTGCAACATAGATACAGTGAGATCGTTGTTAATAAGAAGAAAAAGAAGCATGTCAAAAAACAAAGCTTCCTCTCTAGATTATTTCTGTAATTATTTACCACATTTTTGTATATATCCATTTGTTTTTCTCACTTTTTTCACCCCTTGAAAACAGTAAAAAATCTTGAGCAAGAAAAAGATACAGAGTAAAAGTAATAATCACAAGATGATAAGAAGTAATGGTTATACGAGAAATTTTATTTACATGACAATTACATGCATTTGATTTCTAAAAAATTATAAAGATTTTAAAAATTGTTAAAGAATGTTACTCCAACTAGAAGTCTAGAACCGATTCAATTTAATTTCCCTGAATTCACGGAAAATGTGATTAATTTACAGTGACATTTTGTAATTCTATATGTAAACTATGTGATTTTTTTTTTTTATCAAAAAAAAAAAAAAAAAAAACTATGTGAATTTTTTTTTTAAAGCAAACAGAGAATGCCGACGAAGGCTGTGATTGGTTGGCACATGACAATACAGTTGGCAATACAATTAATGTACGGGAAGAGGAAAAAGACGTGTCACGCTTCATTTATTCAGGTTTGGTATTAGAGCTGGTCAAATTTAATAAGTAGCCTTTCCATAATACTTACATAAATGCAATTAAGTTACTTAAACGGCACTACTAATTAATAATAATCCACACAAACCGAATATCATAACAAAACTTCATCCCGTAAAAACATTTTAAGAAAAAAGTTTAAACGCAACCATGGAAAAGTTTTGAATAAATATTTTAAATTTTCAAGAAATCCAGTATTTGTAATTTACTTGGAACTTGAAACGCTTTATCACAATTCACTAATCTGCCTTGAAACTTGCTTGTTACATTGAATATGAGCTTTGGTAATAAATCATCGTGTTGATGATGTATTTGATTAATAATATAACAAGAGATTAATGGAAGTGGTGATGTACAGACAGACGTACAAGTGAAGTGGCCAGTTCATGTCTGAGCAGTGATCTGGTGATCTACTCTCAGCCGTTTTCCACGAACATTCTCTCTTTCTCTCCCACGTGACGTTTTATATGATTCTTCTCTCCGTACCATTATACAGTTACAAATTGACACTATAGGCTACTTTGTATTGCTAGTTTTTTTTCTTATAAATGTCATATTGTGATTTTGGTGAATTTGAATTCGTAAAACGTTAACAAAGTTTGGAGCAAATCGTTTTTTTTTTTTTTTTGCAATTGTGTGGATAAGTATATGCAATCCGGCCATAAGTCATTTCCTTTAAAAATAATCAGTCTCATCTTACGAATGAAAGATAAACATATGGTTTATTAACGACTATATGAATAGATTCTATAAAAAAAATTATGAATCCTAAGGACTATCAAGTTTATTAAAATTAAAAAATAAATGATAAGTATTTATTTAAAATTATGCAAACAGAAAAGAAAAAAAAAAAGAAACGAATTAAACATGAACCATAGAAACTGGGAAATTCCGTTGTCCAAAAAAAAAAAAAAGAAACTGGGAAATTCCCGGAAAGTATGGATAGATCTCCTCCCATTGTTGGAATATAAATGTGGTCCTATGGAAATTATGGAAAACACATGGAACAATATTTCTCCCATTCTACTGAAAAAAAGAAGTTGTTATATTCAAATTCTCAGCCGATTAATAGCCAATAATCCGAGAAAAGAAAAAGGCTATCATTCAAATTTCTTAGATCAATGTAATTTATCAATAAGTAGAAAAAAAACACGCACCCAGTTCAACTACCAATTTGTAAATTAGATTTTTTTTTTTCATTTATTAAAAAAATTGATTCATCGTATTCGTGCGCAATTTTGCATACAGGACAACCGAAAAAATGTTTGTAATTGACATATTTGACACACACAAAAAACTGCAGTATATTTCTAAAACTCTTTATACAAAATGCAGTGTGATCTTAAATAAAGTATAAAACCGATATTATTAGCCAGATAAATTAATCCGTTGTAATTGCTATCGTCAATAACTCAATATTCAAATCTTTAAAAGACAAGACCTGTTATAGATTTACCTTTGTATAATAAATAAATATAACTTCAAAACAGACATTTTTTTAGCTATTATGGTCAGACGACTCAAAGTCTATTTCTTATATAAAGGATCCAATGCTTGCTGTTGCTCACTATTGTTAAATGAAGAAACAAAAAAAGCATATAGATTTTCGTCAAAAAAGAAAGAAAACATATAGATGTAGCAGATGCATATCGTAAGGAAATGATAAACTAAAAAAAAAGAAAGAAAAAAAAGAAAGGAAGAACTCCATGTGATAACTTATGAGCACTATGTTCATTTGAATTGAGTAGCCTCTCAATAATCGTCATCCCCACTAAAATTGCCATCTCAATAATCGTTACAACCACTAACTATGACTCACAAAACACAAAAACTTTTAAAATACTTTATCATACTCCATTCAAGAGTGTCTAAATTAGCTAAATAACATATTTTAATGTGATACAATATAAACTAAATCTTGTTGATCACAATAAATTACTACGATTTATAGGTTACGACTTTGTCCAATCCTTTGACAAAATTAGAAATCGTCTCCACGTATAATAACGCACCTCTTTCTCTAGATCAGGTCAAACGTCACGTGACCCTTCTCTTACCTTTTTAGCTTCTTAACTCTTAAAATAGAAAACAAGAAAAACCAAAGTAAAGTTTTGAATCGTCGATTTTTGGGCATTAGACACCATCGTGGCATTGGTTGATTGACCTCTCATACTTTCCTTTTTCGGCAAATACCTCTCTCTACTACTCCCACAAATAGAAAGTCTCATCAAGAATTCAAGATCCGTTTTTTCTGAATCTTTTCTTTGACGAGCGGTTTGTTTGTCTTGAATGTTGCCGTTTGGATCGTTCTCAGAGAAATGCGGCGGCGGAGGAAGACGGTTGTGGTGGCGGTTGTGATACGGAGGGTGCTAATATGCGCCATATGCGTAATGACATTACTCTGTTTTCTCACCGTACACATCTATGTTGCTCCTTTCAATAGACTCCCTAGGAGGCTTCACCTTAATCACCACAACACTCGGGTACGTAACCATAACCATCTCTGTTTTCTTGATCGGTGTTAGTGTTCTTAACTCTGTTTCTGAGATTGGGTCGTTTCTTGATTTGATTCTCTCTGTTTAACAGAGAGGAGATATCATCGATTACAACAAATCTATCACAGAACAGAGCTTAACGAGGAATCTGTCTCGTTTAGAATCGAATGAAGCTTCTTCTCTTATCACCAAACCAAAGGTTTGATACGATGTTCTTGAGATCTTCTTGTTTGGAATAAAGTTTTGAACTTTGGCTATCGATATAAACTTTGTCAAATTTCAGGAAAATGAGATTCAGTATAAGAGTTCAATCTCGGAACACATCAAGAACACCGAGCTAGTACCTCCTCATTTCTCTACAAGCCCTTCTTCTTCCAAGGTTTGAAAATTTCTTATATTTTGATTCTTTGGTGCAACTAATGGGAGGACTAAGATTAGTTTCTGTAAGTTAATCATTAGTGAGTGTTTAGTAATTGAGGATATCAAGTAAATTATTTTAATGATAAGTTTGGTGGTTGTAAGTGATGGCTAACTTTAGAACACTAGACAAACTATTTCTTAGATCAAAGAAAAGTTCGATTGTTTTGAATAGAAGGATCATGCTTCTTTCGTGTTTTTCACTCTTTTAGATTTGACAGTTGAACATGACAAGCGGGATACCGGATTTCGACAAGCTTTGGAAACCTCCACCGAACCGAGATTTCGTCCCTTGTGTCAATCCCAATCCTAGTTACACATGTGAGCAAAGAAAACTATCTGGTTTGGTTTCCTTTTGTAGAAGTCTTGTGTTGTTGACACATGACAATCTGGTTATTTGGTTCTTTAGCTTCACTGGAATCTAGAGGCTATCTTCTTGTTCACACAAATGGCGGGCTTAACCAGATGCGCGCTGGGGTAAGTATGTAGTAGTACTATTTGTGTTTCTCTGCCCTCAAAAGTATGAAATACTTAAGGTTGAATCATTCTTCTTCCATTGCAACATTTTACAGATATGTGACATGGTAGCTATAGCTCGGATTATAAATGCAACACTCGTAGTCCCAGAGCTCGATAAACGGTCTTTCTGGCAGGATACTAGGTTAGCTCCATGTTACCATACTCTGTTTTTTTCTTGTTGTCTAAGAATTTTCTAGATCCTGTTTTAACCTGTTTTTGTTGTGGATTGATGCGATTGTAACAGCAAATTCTCGGATGTCTTTGATGAAGATCACTTCATCAATGCTTTATCTAAAGATATAAGAGTCATCAAGAAACTTCCAAAAGGTATTGATGGACTTACAAAAGTGGTTAAGCATTTCAAAAGCTATTCAGGATTGAGTTACTACCAAAATGAGATAGCTAGCATGTGGGATGAATACAAGGTGATCCGAGCCGCCAAATCCGATTCTCGTCTAGCAAACAACAATCTACCTCCTGATATCCAGAAGCTGCGTTGCCGTGCATGCTATGAGGCTCTACGCTTCTCTACTAAAATCAGATCAATGGGAAAAGTAAAACTATTGATTTACCTATAACCATCTCATAGGTCATCTTTCTCTCTAACAGTTTGAGTTTTATGTAGCTTTTGGTCGATAGGATGAGGTCTTATGGTCTATACATCGCGTTGCATTTGAGATTTGAGAAAGACATGCTAGCTTTCAGCGGATGCAACCATGGTTTATCTGCTTCAGAAGCTGCTGAGCTAAGGAAGATAAGGTAACCAAAACAAATTTACTTTTCTCTGCCATTTCTTGCGAGTTGTTATTTTTCGAGTAAGAAGATTGCGTGTTTAGGAAGAACACAGCGTATTGGAAAGTGAAAGACATTGATGGAAGAGTACAAAGACTCAAAGGTTATTGCCCATTGACTCCAAAAGAAGTTGGAATCTTGCTAACAGCTCTTGGATATTCATCAAACACACCGATATATATAGCTGCTGGTGAGATTTACGGTGGTGAGTCTCGGTTAGCCGATTTACGCTCTCGTTTCTCCATGTTAACGAGTAAGGTACTAACAAAGTTTCAAGATATTTTGGTTTTTTTTTATGATTAGTAACTAAAGGGATCAAATAAAAAGACTGAAGACTCTTTTATTTTGTTCATGAAAGGAAAATTTGGCAACTAGCGAAGAGCTTAAGCCTTTTATGAACCACTCAACTCAAATGGCTGCACTTGATTACATTGTTTCTGTGGAAAGCGACGTTTTTATTCCGTCATATAGCGGAAACATGGCAAGAGCTGTTGAAGGGCATCGTCGGTATCTTGGTCACCGAAAAACTATCTCTCCGGACAGGTGAAAATTGTTGTTTTTTTTGTTTCTTTTGGTTTTAAGTGATGGAATCTTGTTGGCTTACATTTTGTTGGTATTTTGTGATTCAGGAAAGGCATTGTGAGGTTGATAGATAGAATTGGAAGAGGAGCTGAGAAAGATAACCGAAAAGTGTATGAACGAATCATAGATATTCACAAAACCCGGTAAGCAAAAACCAATGTTTTCATAGAATTAGACCCATCTCCATAATGTACTGGCTCTAACTGTTGTGGTTATAACACAGACAAGGATCGCCGAAGAGGAGAAAAGGGCCAGTTTCTGGAACAAAAGGTTTGGAGAGACATCGTTCTGAAGAATCCTTCTACGAGAACCCATTACCGGAGTGCCTCTGCCAGAGAGACCCAAGTAAAGCGAGATAATGGACATGAAACTTGAAATTTTTCATGCAAATTTAGCATTGGAGATAAGTTTCAATGATAGTTATAGGCATATTATATAGGTTATAGCATTATAATGATCAAACAGTTTGGTGATTAATGAATGATATACCAATTTTTATACATAATTCTGATTTATACTTTATTCTATAGAAATTCCATGATAACAGTGAATTTGTAGCTCGTCTACTTGTTGATTTTAGAAATATCAAGTTTCTTTTATAGAGACTAAGGGGGTGTTTATTCAATGATGGAGTTAAAGTCAATTTTTTAAGCTTTAGATTTGATTTCTGATATTGCTTGTAAGAGTTTGTTTGTGTGAATTTCAAAATCTCTGCAGTATATCTTGAATTTTGATTCTAATAATTTATTCATAAAACTCCAAAGAGGTTTCATTTCAAATGATTCAATATACAAAAATTTTACAAGTCTTTTAGTTTTGAATAACACTGGATTTTAATGAAGAATTTTAAATCTTAGTTGAATAACATAAAACTTTTAAAATCTAATGAAGTATGAGATCCAATAACACCAGATTTTAAAGTTGGATTTAGAATCATTAGTTGAATAACACTGGATTAGTGTTGGATTACAATTCTATTAAAATCCATCATTGAATAACACCACCTAATTTGTTCATGTACTGTGTCCTAAATTAAGAACTTACATCTTCCAATGTTATCCTTTGATTGGAATAATAATTATCAAGTATTATAATACTTATATATGCAACCTTAGAGAAACAGAAGACAAAAATGTCTCTGGTACTAAGAATTGAAGCTTGCCATGGGAAAAGTATAATCAGGAAGAACAACATATCAGAATCAGATGATCCTCAAAAAAGTTATATAAGAGAAAATTTGAGATTATAAAGTTTTGTTAAATTCTCACATTTTATGAAGATGGGAACCAGAAGTGCTGGTTTTGTAAAAATCTTATTAAACTCTGCAGTGTAATCTCATGGAGGTAACAGCAAAAGAGGAATGATGGCAATATGATTCTTCTTCAGGGAAGAGGACCAGGGAATGTTCCATTTTCTCTTTGCTCGTTCCACCTATCAACCTGCAAACACACAAAAGATAGTTCTTGCAGTATTAAGAAGCAGAACTAGCGAAATCGTCCCAAAAGAAAACGGAACTGATTTCATGACAACTTGTAATCTCAAAACAGTGAAGCAGCCTATTTTAAAGGTCTTTTTTTCTATAACTAATCAGTATCACCTATCAAATAATTGGAACCATGAAGAAAGCTAAAGGAAAGGAAAGTGTACCCATTCGCTGGGGCAAAGAGATCGATAAAACTTTGCAAACTTATCGCATTCTGGAGCATCGTCACCCTTAGCAGCTACACATCTGGAGATATGAAAACAATCACAAAACTTAGACATGGGGAAAGAGATCAGAATCTAAGGAAAAAAGGATAAACATTGCAGAACATTGGTTTTTCACCTGTGATATTCGATGTAACGAGTGAAACAATGCCTTGTTTGGTTTGTTGTCGGGAAACGGAAATCAGCAGGAGCTGTCTCAAGCTGCAACAACACCACATGAGCCAACTCGATTAATATATTAACAAGATCAAAGTAAGTGTATCAAAGTAAGTCTTTTGGCTACTACAATATACCTTGATCTCATCAGGGGTTTCTTCAGCAACTTCTTCACTAGTATTTTCGTCATTATTTTCTTCAATAGCAGGAGGAGTCTCTTCAGCATTGTCTTCCGCTGCAGCAGCAGGAGCCTCAGAAGTCACTTCCGTTGACTCAGGAGCAGATTCAGACTTCTCTTCAACAGCAGAAACCGCTTCCTCAACAGGAGATTCTTCCTTAGTTTGGTCCGTGGTAACCTCTTCAGCTTGTGTAGTAACTTCTGGTACCACTTCTTTCACTTCCACAGGCTTTGCACTTGTATCTTGCTTCACTTCTTTCTCCAAATGATATTGCTGCCAAAATAAATCACCAGCCAAAAAAGTGGTTAAAGACCAAATGAAACCAACATAGACCAAGTGAAAATCAATCTTACTTGTTACAAAATGGATGAAATAAATGGTAACACAATCCTTTAATGTTTACTTACAAATGAAAAAAGTTTGGATTTTTAAAAACTGGAAAGATTCAATCTTTGTTGACTTGTTCAAATCAATCAAGAAATTGAAAACCCTAATATGTATTGAAGAGCTAAAGGAATCTAATTTAGCTCGTTCTAAAAGGATAAATCAAAATCGAATCGAAGCAGATCTAACAAAAGAAAGTCTCACAATCAAATTCAAAGAGAATCAGCTCATTTTGCAGTAGATCGAACGAAGATCGGATGAAAACTGAGAGAGCAAAATGAGAAATGAGGTATAAGATGAAGAATAACCTCGGAGAGCGATGGAGTTTGAGCGGTCACAGCTTCCGCCATTGAAGCGTGTGGTCAAAAGAAGCTCGGAGAATCTTCAGGTGACTGGAGAGCGACGAGGATCGGAGACAAGAATCTTTTTTTTGATGATAACACTCTGAGAGAAACTGTTAGGTTTAAGCTCTCCAGGATCTCTATCTGGCTATGTCCGTACCGACCAAACGACAGTGTTTTGTTTTGTTCTAACATAAATTGGGCCTGTTTTACTTAGTCCACTTTAGGCCCAATTAAGTCTCCGCTGATCTGTCTACTAAATAAAATGATTTATTTGCACACAACAACAACAAAAAAAAAAAAAAAAAAAAAAAAAAAAAAAACAAAGCAATAGAAGCACATTCCAACAAAGGGAATTACATGTGATAATTTTATAAATTTCTTTTATTTGGTAGAATTTTTTATTCCTGGTTACCAACAATGTTTTGGTACATAGATGAATCACAAGAAAATTTCAAATTGAGAAAATAAAACAATTATTTATCCATCCATACAACGCAACGGATAGAGTTTCCTTCCGCCAATAAATCAAAAGCTTTGTTAATTTCCTCAAAGCTTAATTCATGTGTAATCAGACCGTCTAGGTTAAGCTCCTGCAATTTAAAAAAAAAAAATATAAAATCACATCGCGTAATGAAAAAAATAACTTTAACTTTTGTTCTTGTATAAATAAATAATCATATATACTATAAACAGATTTATTTATACCTTTTTCAAATAACGATCCACGAGAATTGGAATATCAAGTTTGGGTTTCAAACCACCGAACAATGTTCCACATATAGTTCTGCCTCTGAGAAGATCATAACTACCCAAGCTTACTGGCAAAGCCTTTTGTTCCATCCCCAATATTACCGTTTTACCCGATCCCTAAAAGGAAATCATCATTATGAAAATTGATATCGGTTTTATCTATGTAATGATGCTAAACCGAATAGAAACCGGTAAAACCGTACAGGGCGAGTGCTATTGAAAGCCTCTTCCATCAAGGAAGCTAAACCAATGCATTCAAAACTGTAGTCAGCTCCTACTTCTGTCATTTCTCTAATCACCTTATTTTCATAATCATCCAACAATTACATTAATTTATTTCAGCATGTTCCGAATTAAAAGTTATATAAGAGTACTTTGAAGACATACCTCACTAATTGTCTTCTCCCCACACAAAGCAGGATTGACGAAATCCGTCATTCCGTATCTTTTACCTACTCGACATCAGTAGTTATAGGTTATCTTAAGTGATATGGTATACTAAAAAAAAAAAATGATTATGTCAATTTAACCAGTTCGTAGTAAAATTTCATTAGGAAATCAGTCAAACCTATTTCAAATTTGGCGGGATTGAGATCCACACCGATGATCTTAGTGGCTCCCCGCAATCTGACTCCTTCTGCAACCTGTTTACGAAAAAAATTCACCAACTACTTAATAGTTAATCTTAATTGTTTTTGTTGTTAATGTTAAACAAAATCATATAATTGTTTAATATATATAGCTTCTATTATTTTGATATAAATGTACCGCGAGTCCAACAGCACCAAGGCCAAAGATAGCGACAGTGGAACCTTCCTCTACGTCAGCCACTTTCCACGCAGCTCCAATTCCTACAAGTCCATTTCAAACTCGTAACAAAGTGTAATTATTTATATATTTATATCCCACCCTTGATTTTGTACTAGTTTTATGTTTTAACCTTGGCTAATTTAAAAATTATCCAAATCAACCCTAAACAAATATGAGAAACTAAGCTAGCTAGCTAACCTGTGGCAACACCGCAGCTGAGCAAGGCTGCTATATCAACGGGAATTTCAGGAGAGATTTTGACGAGATGTGCGATATCTACCACGGTATATTCAGTAAAACTCGAGACAAAGATAAAATGGTGAATAACTTCTCCAAAAGAGTCCTTGAATCTTGAAGTCATTCCATATCGTCTAGTGTTTGATAAGAAATCGTTAGTATATCTTGTGCACCAGTTGCTCTTTGGAGATTTGCATTCTTTGCATTCTTCACATTGAGGTTGAAACACTGGCAAAACGACGTCGCCTTGTTTAAATCCGTCTACGTTGGCTCCAATACTCTCGACCACACTAGATTACAAATCCAAGTAATTAGGCAAATTCTTGAAGATCAAGAATGAAAAAATAAAGAAGTATAGGGTGATTCACCCGACTGCTTCGTGACCTAGGATCCTAGGAAACCTTGCAAGCGGTCCCTGGAAGAATAAAAATGTTTGTGGGATTGAGTTTTGAATAATAGATTATGCGTTGACTTTGTGATATAATGTAAACTTACACTTTCTAGTTTCCAGAAAGTAACATCCGTGTGACATAGAGAAGTACATAGAATTTTAATCCTAACTTCGTAAGCTTGAGGTGGATCAACTTGGATCTCTTCTATCACCAAAGCTTCTCCTGCTTTCCGTAAGATTGCTGCTTTGCATCGAATCGGCTTTCCTTCGGTGCTGGAGAGTGAAGCTTTGTCCATGGTGAACAATGATGGAGTGATCTGGGAGAGAGAGTCACTTGTTCTTGTTATATTATCTCTGCAAAAAGATTCTCTTGTTTTTATCAATAGCTTATTTTTTTTCTAATAAATCCATTTACTGAATAATGAAGCACGTCTCTAGTCTTTTTTATAAAGTTAATTTCTCTATAATGAGAAAGGGGTGGGTGGGAACGACGTATCTTTACTTTATTTTTCAGTCTATGTTAAGAAAATAATTTAAAATGAAACTTTGAGGAAAATGAAAACATTGGCTTTCAGATTGTACCAATGAAAACAAATTTCGAACAGCTCGTTATTACTTAATTAATACATACCTAAAACTCAGCTAATTAATAAATATGGTTTCTTGTAATCTTGATTAAACTACAACATTTTTAACTATATGTTTGTTATAACAAATGTGAGAAAACATACACGAATTTACAATGTTTACAATAACGTCACTGAAAGCCAATTCATTGGTTAGGAAGATCGCTTGTAGTGTAACACGAGATGGCAGGTTACGTTCTTATCTTGCGCTTGGAAGACCATCGTGGTTGCAGGACCGCATAGAGAGAGAGATCGTGGTCGTGGAGGTTGAAGCAAGTCTCCTCATTGATTTTGGGTTCATCAGCCTCTGGTTTTTTTGTCCTGTTTCTGTTCGTAATTGCTCTGTTTTTCTTTTCTGGTTTTGATCTTAATTGCTCTGTTTTTCTTCCTATGTTGACATTATTTTTCTTCTTCGTAATAAATAATTTGACCAGCGACAAAAAAAAACGAGGATATATAAAATCTCGCAAAACTTAAAACCCAATATTTTTTTAAAACGCAAATTAAAATTGGGGCCCATATAAAATTGCACTATATGACCGGGTTGGTCCATATATAAAACTATAAAAGTGAAGTGAGAAATCTCCTCTTGCACAAAAATGGCGTCATAAAGGAACATTAATTCACGCTTAGATGTTAAAAATGAAAGAACACTAATTCACCACCATTGTCTGAATTAAAGAAGTGACAATGCGTGTGTTGAAAGTTGAAACTGCTTGTTACCAAGGGTTTGAAGCGAGTGAACGTATAAAGAACTTGAGATTTGCATTTCAAATGGTAAAGCCAAGTACAGTAAAACCTCTATAAATTAATAATGTTGGGATCATGATATTTTATTAATTTATAGTGATATTAATTTATCTATAAATTAATAATTATTAATTTATAACGTAAATTAATATTTATTAATTTATAGAAAGTTTTGTTTCAATTGTGAATTTTTTTTTAAAAAAATACGAGCTAAAGCAATGTGATCTAACTAAGATTAATGTTTTGGATGTTATAAATTTTATAGTTTTAGCCTTAAACACTTAATATTTCAAAAAAAAATAATTTATTTTGACAATGAACAACAACGATTATAGAATTCACATATATAAACGATATACATAAATTAAAATTCACAAAGACATTCATTGTTGTATTTTAAAAACATATACGACTATTAAAACAAAAATTATGCATATTCAAAATTTGAAAACTTACAAAAGCTTTTTATGAAAAACACTAAAACTATTATATATATATATATGTGAAAATTACATGATTATTAATTTATGATATTATTGGGACTATATTTTTACATAGAGATTTCAAAAAATTTATTATCTTATTATCTTATCGAATTTGGTTAATTTTTACATTGGCCCGACTAGGGACCGGCCAAATTTATTAATTTATCGTGTTTATTAATTTATCGAGTATTAATTTATAGAGGTTCTACTGTATAACAATCATTGATCTACAAATTAATAGAAGGGGTTTAGTAAACACAATTTTAAGGGGTTTGGACTCCAAGTGCCAAAGATAAGTTTCTGGCTCTTGTTAATATAACAAAATGTGCAAGGTAACAAGAACAAAGCATTTTGAAAGACAAAGGAAAATAATCTAAACAAGAACCATTACTTATCCATCCATAGAATGCAGCGGAGAGACTTTCCTTCCTCTAATAATGCGAAAGCCTTATTGATTTCCTTAAAATTTAATTCATGTGTGATAAAACTATCCAAATTGAGCTCCTACAATTTGTTAAAGGAAGTACTATTTAATCTCATGAAAACATAACAGAGGGTGGAAAAAAATGTAAGCACATAAATATATATGTACAGTTTACCTTTTTAAGGTAATGATCCACGAGAATGGGAATATCAAGTTTGGATTTTAGACCACCGAACAAGCTTCCGCAAATATTTCTGCCTCTTAAAAGATCAAAACTACCCAAACTAATTGGTGCTGCATGCTTCTCCATCCCCAACATTACTGTTTTACCTGTTCCCTGATTTATTTATTTATTTTCCAATTGTTAAAAGACATTGTAAATTATAGAGCCAATTAACTTTGGTTAACCTTAACCATTGGAATGATATACTGAATTGACTAAGATTCGATTTATAAGCGTACCGTGCGGGTACTGATGAAAGCCTCGTTAAGTAAAGAAGCTAAGCCAACGCATTCGAAGCTGTAGTCAACGCCTCCTTTTGTCATTTCTTTAACCACCTTTTTTTTGTATTGACCAACAAAGTATTTGTTTTTGTCAATGTATGTATTAATAAGTTGTTGTAACGTAAGATATATGAACTGGAGTAAGATATTTGATAACATACCTCACTAACCTTCTTTTCTCCGCATAAGGTAGGATTGATGAAATCCGTAAAACCAAATTTCTTACCTGATCAATAGAGATTATTATATATGATTAAATTTAAGTGATTATTTACATTTCAAAGCAAAAGTATGATTTGTTTCTCTATTTTTGATATAATATTTTGAAACTAATTTAATTTATGTGTGTAATCAATGAAAATGTTATTTATGACGGGAAAAAAAGAAACCTAAACTACTACACTTGGCTATTTTTACCCAAAAAAAGGATAAAAACAGATGGACCGTTAAACCACTTGTCAGATCAACATCAACTACAGCCTCCAACACTAACGTATAACTTATACACTAATCACCAACGTGGTCAGAATAAGCCCACACACACAAAAATCTTCTTCAAAATTAAAAGACAAAAAGCATATTATATCAGGATTGGTATCAATACCAATACCAGGATTGAAATACAACACGACTTTACCTAGCTCGAATTTATCAGGATTGGTATCAATACCAATGATCTTTGCAGCCCCACGTAGTCTAGCTCCTTCTGCAACCTTTTACCAAATCATTAAAATTATTTAATTATTACTAGCAAATAACTAAAAGATGTGTATATAAATTTGATCAAAGAAAAGGTATAATTATTTTTATTTTTTCAATAAACAAAAGGTAAAATTATTGTTAAAGTAGTTTTGTTTTCTTTTTTTTTTCTTTTTTTTTTTCGAAGAAAAAAGTAACACTATATATTTTTTTTCGAAGAAAAAAGTAACACTATATATAATTGAAAATAAAAATGATACCGCAAGTCCAACAGCACCAAGGCCAAAAACTGCAACGGTGGAGCCTTCTTCAACGTTAGCTACCTTCCAAGCTGCTCCAATTCCTGATCCACGTGACGCACCATCAGCTCATGCATGTGCATTATCTGAAATCCTATAAATAACAATCCGGCCCCTAATCTCTCCTTATGTTTTACCCTAGATATATTTAAAATATCCATACCAACCCTACGAAAACAACTAAAGAAGAGAAGAGATACCTGTGGAGACACCGCAGCTGAGCAAAGCCGCTTTATCAACAGGGATTTCAGGAGATATTTTGACAAGATGTGCAATATCCACGACGGTGTATTCGGAAAAACTCGAGACAAAGAGAAAATGGTGAATAACTTCTCCCGAAGAGTCTTTGAATCTTGAAGCCATTCCATATCGTCTTGTGTTTGATATGAAATCTTCAGCATATCTCTCGCACCAGTTGGTTTTTGAAGATTTGCAGTCTTTGCATTCTTCACAATAAGGGTGAAACACTGGCAAAACGACGTCGCCTTGTTTAAATCCTACCACGTTTTCACCAATGCTCTCGACCACACTGGTTTAAAAAATTAATACAAGTTACTATGCTATAGTAACCTCAACAAAAAGTAATTACTCAAATTCTTGAAAAAGAGTGAAAATTTGAAATTAAAGAAATATATGAAGATTCACCCGACTGCTTCATGTCCAAGAATCCTAGGAAACCTTGAAATCGGTCCCTGGAAATGTAAAAAAGATGAGTGTGAAAATGGAGTTTTAAAGAAAAGATTATGCGTTGACTTTGTGAATAATGTAAACTTACGAAGTCTAGTTTCCAGAAAGTAAGATCAGTGTGACATAAAGAAGTACATAAAATCTTAATCCTAACTTCATAAGGTTGAGGTGGATCCACGTGGATGTCTTCAATCACCAATGCTTCTCCTGCTTTTCTACATATTGCTGCTTTGCATCTAATTGGTTTACCTTCGTTGCTAGAGAAAGATGTATTGTCCATGGCGATGATGAGATGCACAAATAGGTAAGTGGACGAGAGAGAGCTGATCTTGTTCTTCCTATCTTATCTTTTATAGATTTTCCAACTGCTACAACACTTATGAATATTTTATTCAACGACACATATTTTACTAGAGTGACACGCGCAACTTACAACAGAGTTGTACGTGCTCAATCTATAACGTCTAATTCTATGATACAATTTTTTTTTCATAATTCATAAGATTTGAAGGTATGTCATTGCATTTCTAGACCCAAAGCGTGTGTTTACAGTTTTTTTCTTTTTCAATAAGAGCATTTTAAAAATAGAATTTAAATGAAATATGTTATTAAAATTGAGAAATTAGATAGTAATATACAAGATAAGCAATTAGTTCGAGTATATGTTGTGCAAAAGTCATGGTCTCTAGATATTTGAAGACTGCGCATATTCTTTTATGGGCTTGATCCTAGCCTTCAATACGTCATGACTTTTTCCCATGTTCATGAGTATTGTCTAAGCATCAAGAGATTTCAAGTTTTCAAACACTTTTTAGATATCTATAAAAAATATTGGACAATGACTCTTAAGTATCACAATTACTAAATGATCATATATAGATTCAGAAAAACAATCTCAAAAGCAAAGTTAATAGTATTTCTTCCAAATAAGAAAGTGAAGATTAGTTTATTCGTAGTTAAGTATTTCTTCCAAATAAGAAAGTGAAGATTAGTTTATTCGTAGTTACTACTGAGCACATTCTAGATAAGTTCACCAATCTTAGAAGTTAGAACAGTAATAAACTCCACATGAATTCAGAATCATATTTCTGTAATACCATGTGATTGTGCCTATTGAGTAAAAAAAAAAAGGCATTTGCCTTAGGTCTCCTCAATATTAAGCAAATTTTGGGCCCCAAATTTCAAATAATCTATACTAGTATAATCGCAGCACTTTTTGTGACGGGTGGGTAAAAAAGCTTTCGGGTATATCGGATATCCGACCCATTTTAAAAATTCCTTCACAAAAAATTGGTTGGGTCGGGTTATATTTAACCCAACTCATACACCGGATATTCCATATTTAATAATTTAGATTTTTAGGAGATTTGATTAAGATTTATAATTATGATTCTCCTATCATCTTTGTTTGATTTGTTTTTAACTGTTTTGAATCATCATATAATACATAAAGTAAAAAAAAAAAATCAATTTTTTTTCTGCATATACTGTGATTCGAAATTTTAAAAACGGACATATATTATCCAATTGACGAAAATGTGTGTTCAACGTTCTACATCGATTAAAATATTTAGACAATGATTCAGAATCATATCATAAATAAGAACATTAATAAAATAAATGAGTTTTTTGGCGGGATGGGTTTGGCGGGACGGGTTTTTGAATCAACAATAATAAAAAGATTAAAATATCATTAATCCGCCGCTTCAATACGGATTTAATCCTTATTTTTTTTAATACAAATCACATGACGAGTTAAGAAATTACGGAACGGGTTATATTTCGGAAATGATTTATATGGCGGACGAATTTGAATCAATATTTATATACCGCTTTAATACGAGTTAAATCCTCAGTTTATTAATAATTATCTCGTGGACTCGTGGTATACCGTTACTTAATAACAATTGTAAACTATAATATAAATCTATATATAATAATATTTGAGAAGTGTTTTTGCTGATGTGTCGGACTCACAGCTCTTGTTGAGCTCTTGCTTTTGTGTGATTACTTAAATACCCTTTATTAAATTCGAATATTAATTAATTATTTTATTAAATTATAGCATTTTTACTTTTATACGATAATGTTTACATATTCGCAACAAAATTTACGTATATCCCACAAATTATCGATAATCTAATTTATATACTTTTCGAAAAATAAGAGATACAATATACTGCCCGGAAAAAAGGCAAATATATTGAATAGTCTAAAATCTATAAATAACAATATTTGAGAAGTGTTTTTGCTGACGTGTCAGACTCACGGCTCTTGTTGAGCTCTTGATTTTACGTGATTACTTAAATACCTTTTATTGCCTAATTTAATATTTTTAAATGTTTTTTTCCGTTTTTAATCTAATTATACTAAATGATTTTCGTTTAAATAAAAGGCCACATTGTGTAATCCGTTTAACCAATATGGGCCGAACAAAATATACAACTACACCGACTATATGTTAAATCGTAAACCCTAGAAACACATATTTAACCTCCTATAAATACATTAACTTCCTATCGTCATAGCCGGAGACACCGCCACCGCCGAGTCTCAACTCAAGCAAACCCTAAGCCATAAAGTTTCAAGAGGGAAACTGAATCTGATATCCATTGTGCATCCAAGCCGCCGTCGTTGAGATCATCACCACCACAGCCACGTTGGAGATCACTGAAATTTGTGAGCCTTCTTATGTTATCGCCAACGTGATCACGTTGGCACCGTAGCAAGTAAAGAAGAAAAGAAAGAGCATATTGGAGAAGACAAACAGAAAGAGGAAGAAGAAGAAGAAGAAGAAGAAGAAGACATTGAGACAAGGAGAAGAAGGAAGCGTGAAAAGAATCAAAAGAGAAAGAAAAGGATATATTGATCAGAGAAGGCTTATAGGAAAAGAAGAAGGAACCATGTAGGTAGAATCAAAACTGATATTATTTCGATTCATGTTTTCTATCTTTGTC